CTCAGTAGGCTGAAGTAACCTGAAAAAAGTTTCTAAAATGTTGCTTCCATTTTTAAAGTGATCATTGTTAAGAGAGTATGTAAAACCCACTTTAAACGTTCTAAATTGTTTCAAACATATACCCCCTTGCCAGGCAGGATTTGTTGTTCAGTCAATAGGTTGTTTTCCAGTTATCTTAATCCTATTCTAAATGAGATTTATGTGCAAGAGAAGAAATGGACCAGCTGTCATTTTGTCTGCCCCTTAAGCCTGCTTCGCCAGCAGGAGTATCCATGGTGTTATAGATTAGATCAGTGAATCTGAACAGCTGTGTTTTCAGTCTGTATGATTCTTGGAACAAGGCTTTTCAGAACTTGCCTGCCAGAAATATAGCCAGAGGAAACTACCTATTCTGCAAGTTTAAAGAGGGCTGAGGGGTGGTGGGAATAAAAAGGTTACTTTTGGAAGCTTTGGAAGAGTAATGTGTTAGCCTGTGTTTCTGTACTGGCAACTGTATTTTCTTATTTTTAGAACTGATTCTCTGAGTTATGCAGAAAATGTTTATTGTACCACGTGATGAGTCGTACAGCTTGTATTTTTTTTTTTTGGCTTCACATCTTCCTTTGTTCATTTCCTCTTCCATGGGTACCTAATGCAGGAGTAATAATGAGAATCTAAAACACAAGGTGAAAGAATTACATTACGAAGCCATACAGAAAAATGGGTGGGATTTTAGAAGAATGCAAAAATTTCCTGAACTGAAATCTGGAAGTAGGACCACAGACTCACTTTCACAGCTGGAAATGCAATTTCCATTTTCCATTTCTGGAGCAAAGTCTGCGTACTGACATAGAGAAATCCTGTCATGTAGAACTGTAGCAGCTTTCCCTGGACATACCTTACAATACCCTAACTCATAACACTGGGATTTGTTTTGAAACAAATTCTTAACCAAAGGTAATACACATACAGTGAGTTATAGATTATTGTAGTAGCAAACGCTTCTAAGAAGAAACATCTCATTAAAGGTAAGGAGCAAGAAGCTTTCACTTTTTGAAAAAGTGAATTTGAAGTGAAAGGAGTTGATCAGATTCTTACCAATTGAAGACATAGCTTATACTTTCTGGAAAGAGAGGTTATTTAGTTAATGAATCACCATTTTGTGCATCTTAACTAGTCTGATTATTTTGGTCTGGGATGAACTGCCTTCAGTAGCTGTGCTTGAAACAGGAAAAGGGCATTTTGGGCCCTTCATACCATACTGGTATGAAAGTGAATTTCATATTCTTACAATGAAAGAAAGTACTGCCCCTATACGTCTGTCTGCATGTAGCCTTGAATCTTCAGCAGCAGAGGAATGGAGAAGAGATAAGTTTTATTGAAGGTCCTTCATTGAAAATGTGTACTACAGCATACTCAATTGACCCAAAGGCCTGGTGCCTGGAACGCCTCAGCTGATTAAGAAATGGTGTCTTCTTCAGTAGAACCAAGATTTTGCAATTTAAAGGCAAAAAATAAGCCAACAAGATACAGAAATTTAAAGATCTAGCCCCTTTTGTTTATTCCAGATGAAATGCTTACAGACAGACAACTAAAGCCTTTAGGCAGTTGCTCCCAAAACTTTTTTTTTAGAGAGATTTTCTCTTTAGCTGTATGGTACTTTCTAAAAGAAACAAGGTTCATGTGTCTTGCCCAAAGGCTGGATTTGAAGGCTGTTTCTACCATTAGTCTGCAAAGTAATTCCAGCTGTTTCAGTTAACAGTGCATTAATGTTGCACACTAAGCAGCCAACAGCTCTTGTCTAGGATACATGCAGCTAAAGAACTCTACTGGGGTTCATTGAAGTGCTATTTTTTTTTCCCCCTAAAATGGTGAAGACAGTTACACTTCTCAGTGATGGGAAACTTAGCCCTCAGTAAATAAAAGGCTTGAAGTTAAGGGGAAGAATGCCTTTGAGAAGCAGCACCTATCACATTAAATTTGTTGTACTTTAACCCGATTTCTTTCATGTTATAAATAACATGTTTTCATGTATTCATCCAGTTATAAATTCCAAGCTAAACTGGAAAGTGTTCAGTGAAAAGTGTCCATAATGGTGGAGAAAGCTTTAAAGTGAGGCTAATCTAGAGAGTTGTAGTTAAAAACTATCCCCAGAATATAATCTTATATATGTGAATATGTGTATATATGCAAATGTGTATTTTATAGATGAAGTAATTATTAGTAATTAGTAAAGATATTAGGTATCTTTATGGGTACTTGTTACTTTTAAATATTGCATCTAGGTGTACATGTCGCTGCCAGACTAATTGTGTGTAGTGTGTCTATGGGAGACTTTCTCATTGCTTGTTTTCCTTCTGTGGCTCACGCACCTATAGCTTTCTAGCATCTCAGTTTGTGCTGGTCACTAAATTGTTAATCTAGTGACCTGTTCAGTGTGTGGAGTTGCCTGGCCCTTATCAGCTGGATAAAATTTAAGATGCTTTCTTCTATACTTTAGTCATAGTCTAGATTATACTACCCAGTATGCTTAAAGATATGTGATAAATCAAAGGGGGAAAAAAGTCTCATGCCTCTCCATCAAATTATACAATGTTAGAAATTATTTAAAAAGTACACATTTTTTGGCTCTTAAAGGAAGTTCATAGTAAAACCTCTGCCAGCTCTCGTGAGGGATTAAAATTTTGCTGTGAAGGCCAATTTTGGAGAAGTAATTCTCAGGCAGGTCTTCTAACATAATTAATTTCTTGGGTCCTCTCACTGAAGCAGAACAATATCTGAGGATCTCAGTTCTATAAAATTGAAGGTAAATGAAGGTAAATTCTACCTTCTCTGCTTGTTTGAGTAGACACCATGAATCTATGGGAGGAAAAGCCCAGAGCTTTTATGTTTCTGTTGGTACAACTCCCTTCCTGTTGCTATTCATAACTATGAATGTATGAAGTGTTCAAAATCAAACTGAAGAAACGGCTGTTAGGCATTGCATTCAATTGTTTTTAAAACATTTAAACCGTATTTTATGATAAATCTTCTTGTCAGATACCCTTGAATACTACAGAGAAATTT